TATGTACTCATACCGAGTGGCTTGAATTTTTCGTGAATATAGTTGTTTGAAGAAGGTAGGCAGAAGTCCTCTTCGTAACCTGGGTCAGAAATGCTTTGAACGAATGATGTACTATAGACTGTTTTCACATGACGTCACGGCGACCATATTGGTGTCCGGAAACAATGAAACGGCGGCCATGTTGGTGTCCCAAACCAATTCTGTGGGAGTTGATTTCGTTTCTTATGCAAACGCTTTCTTTTGTTCCAATAAATTTGCATAGATGCTGGCCACGTGAGTGAAAACACTATATACGCTCTAGAGTACCTTTTCTGTCCTTATGCCCCGAAAAATAATCAATATGACCGCAAAATGCTATATCATCGAAGGATAACTGTATTAACGACTCAACGCATAATGCAATATAGTTTCAACGCGAAATGTAATATCTCTTCTTACGCGCATATTGTAATAGAGCGGTTTTCACTTGACTGTCGAAAGGGATTGGTTTTGGTTTTGGTTTTGGTTTTACTACGCCCTTTGGTTGGCTAGTGTATTTACTTTGGTTTTGGTTTTACGACAGTCAAGTGAAAACCGCTCTAACTGGAAATACAAGTTGTACAAGAGGTGAAAGTACTAAATCATAATAACCCAAAGTACAGTTGTAAGAGTAGTGAAAGTACTAAATCAGAGGTGTAGAGAAAACATTGAACAGGGTTATAATTCACTCTATTTCACAACAGACACAACAAAACTTATACCCTCAAAGTAAAGGTATTCTCTTATTTTAAAACAAATAAACGTGATTCAGCTTTTATTCACACTTGATGTTATTCAAGATGCCGCCGACAAGATACACTAAAAAAAGAGGGGCTGAATGGCGGTACCTCGATAACACTAATTTTTTTGTCTCTGTAACCTGAAACAGTTAAATTTTAGGCATTTCAACACCAACAGTAAAAAATTCACTGTAACATTCAATTTTTTCCACGACGAAAAAAAAGAAGGCAAAAAATCCAAATTATTTTGTTTAGTATATCAGGGAATTTAGGCCATTTTCCGACAATTCCCGATTATTTCAGAAGATTTCCGAAGGCTACCGAGAATGTCCGAAGACTGGAGACGATTTCTGAGGAGACACCCGAAAATTTTCCACTTTATTGTCGTCGTTATATTCATATCTGAACGACATATTTTTGCAGTGATCAGATGCGAGTTTTTCACGAAAAACCCTCCAAACACTTAACAGTATTTTCTCTTGAAAGAGTAAACATGAAAAAATTTACCAATTTAACAGCAAAGACATAAAATTTTAGGTAAATAACACTAAACACTAAACCCCATTCAGACCCTCAAAAAATGATTAACGTTTTTGAAACCTGGAAAACCAGAAGATCAGGAACCAAAAATGAGGTGAAATGACATCCTCTTTACCAGATCAGCGTTATATGCTCTCTTCTTTTCTCCTTATTATTTCTTTCATCATCAACCTTCTGCAAAAAAAAAAAATGAAAAATTTGGAAATTTCGGTTGGAAGTTAGATAAAGAAGATAATAGAGGTGTATGTTATGGGGAGGTAGTAGCCTGCGCGTCTGGCCTGGAGGAACGGAAAAAGGGAGTGGGGATGGGGAGAGAAGGAAAGGGACTCCCCTTCTCATTCTTCTATCGCGAAATTGCCCTAACCCTTTCCTCCCCACTTTTGTGCCTGCCACTGACTCAGGCTAAGGAGCTAGAAATGTCGTGTGATACCATCGGTACAACATTTTCTTAAATTATTTTTATACAGTATATTAATACGTGACTGTTCAAAACATATCGATAAAACATATTTACAACAAAGCAAAGCATTGAAGGTACACTGTGTTAATAAGTTTGTACATGGTTTGGTTTGAAAATGGTCACCGAGGAAAGGTTATAATAGCAATAAGTCGGGTGAATTATAATGGCCGTTTCGTTGTGGAGTTGAACTGCGCAGAGAGATGCTGGCCGTTTCAGTACCGAAAGGTCAGGCTGTTTTATGGAATTATTTGATACAGGGAAGTTAGAATTGACAGAAGTAAGAATTCGGTTCAAATGAAAAGAAAAGCGTCATAATCGTGAAAATATTGCTGCAAAAAAATGTTTCTACATCAATTAAAATAAGTGAATATATATCAACTTACTTTCCTTCCGCACCTTTTCTTTTATCGAAGACCAGCAGTCAGGTTTAGCAGCGTTAAAACAACGCAGTAAAGTAGACCCCCTGATTATTGGGTAAACAGACGATATATTATTATATTGTGCCATTATGCAAAATAACAAGTTTGAGTGCTGGCAGACCTTTGGCCAGGAACACACTACGATTTCGGAACCCATTCTTTTCTTTGTTAACCCGTTGTTTACCTTTTTTTGCATAGAAAACACGAACAAAAAAATCGACCGGCTTTAAAGTTCGGCCTATTACGAGAACACGCGAAAATATGAGCGCGTGATCTGATAAGGGGAAGGGGTGGCGTTTTTATTAGGCTGATTTAACAACAGAACGGGAACGTCTGTTGGCGACTCTCCGCGCAAATCAAACAACTGGCTTGACCAATGGCAGAGCAGCAAATTGGGTACCGGAAGTCGAGTTTAGTGCTTTCCGCGCGCTTTCCCGTCGTCAAATGACGTTGCCGTTCTGGTGCTAAATCAGCCTATCAGTTTCGTGTTCGTGCTTTGTCGATTTCGCGGACCCGACCATCTAGGAGCCTGGAACGGGCTAGACCACTTACTAAGGCTGTGTTCATGCTATAGCGGAAAACTTTTCGTACCGACACGAAAATCTATCCAGTATAGCATGAACTTCTATACGATATTTGGCTCTCCACTTTAGAAATTCACTCGGTTACAGAAATCACTTCGAAATCAACGTTCTTATGTGTGACCAGTAGCCCTGTTTGGTATGATTTTCGTGCCGCTGCGAAAGCTATCCGGAATAGAGTGAACATTGCCTAAGAAAATACCATCTCTGCCATCTGCAGCAGTCCTGGCTTAAAGTTTACGTATGGAGGGCAACCGAGAAGCCCTGGGGTCGAGGTTGCGGTTTTTGGTAGGGCAATACAAAATGGCGGAACATTTCAAAGTCACGTTTTGCGAAGAAGGAATAGCCTATTAAACTGCCGCCTAAAAACATAGCAAGAACAGAAACAATACAACTCCACGGACATCTGCTATTTGTAGAATTTAAGCAGAACAAAACTCCTTTTTATCTCCTGAACTTTTTAAAAAACAGCCAAAGTTGGAAGACGGGAACTCAATAACATCGATCGGGGCAGGCATGCTTTAGTTTGTTTTAAAACTAGGAATTGTTTTGAATAAATAATGAAACAATTATCAGTCTTTGCAGTTTTAACTTAAAATATGCTTCTTCCGACAGGTTTTTTTCAGACACATTAGAACAGGCTTTCTTTATCGTACTTTGAAGCTGACTGAAGTCTATTGTATTCTTCTGCACCCTAGTCCTAAATTATTTCGGTCAATGACCAAATCATGGGCGGATCTCCTTGTACAAGCCTTTGGATTTTTGCGGTCTCCTCACCACTCACTGTTTCACTGTTTTTTTCACTTTCTTTATTAGTTATTTTATGAAAGTGTTCTTGTTCAACTTAAAACTGTGCATGTGTTGTTCTTCAAGATTAATTAAGATATTATGAATTGTAATTATGGTACCATGAATTTTATCTCAAACTGAATGTAATGCTGTAATCTTACGAGTGGTGCTGTAAATAAATACTTAAAATAGATAAATAAATAAAAGATGACATATGACACCAACTAGTGAAGCCTAAAATCTGATATGGCTAGCAATTTACCCGAACGGTCACGCAAAAAAAAGGAAAAATTAAAGTAAAAGTACCAAGTGTAACTGTAACAAGTTTAAATGGAATACATACCATCTGTGATGGCTGCTTTTGATCGGACAGTACCTTAAAAAAAGGAATGGGGAACACATTAGTTAAAGATAGGTTTGGCATTCATTGTATTGCTCTTCTACCACAAAGAACGTCCCAGTTATGAATTTTTGATCACACTCATCTTACTCCAAAATAACCACGTAAACTTCAGTAACGTGATCAACTAAGGTTGGCCAGTGCATAATCTATTCTGGTAAGATATGTGTTCAAAAGATGATATCTTTTAACAATGCAATATTAGTAGCACAATGCCACAGGTGATTTACAAAATATCTGCTGAAGATGGGCTGCACTGCTCTTTGCAGATCAGACATTTAGAGTTCGACATCGTTGTGGCCCACGATCAGACTTGTTGGGATATATATATGTTCTGGGGTGCCTTCCCGTTCTATTGGGGAAAACGTTGCTTTACTTCATGACGTTGCCAGCCATGCGAATGAGCTCAATCTTTTTGTGGCCATTTTGTCTTTGGACCAAGAGAAGGCCTTCGACCGTTTTGATTGGTCTTTGTCTTTTGCGTACCCTTTTGTCTATGGGCTTCAGCTCCCCTCTCATTAGCTGGCTTAAACTTCTGTATACGGATAATCGTAGTTCTATCCTTGTTGACAGTTATATATCACCGTCTTTTAAGCCTTCTCGGGGTGTACGACGGTAGGGTTGTTCCTGTCGCCTTTGCTCTATGTGCTCACCATGGAGGCGTTGGCCGTTAATAAGGACTTTAAGATCCAACGAAGCGGACGGCGTTGAGAACGTCAAAAAGCAATAGGTTTTGTAAGCAAAACAACAACTTTTCACGTGTGCATCACGCTTGTTTGTACATTCTTTGCCCTTGTTTGCACGACTGCCACTTGAAAATGCCTAATTTCGCGTTTTATGGACTACGTAAACAAGCAAACACGAAATTTTATTTCTCTCTCTGAACTTGGATATGGTCTCAAGGAATTCAACTCCAGCAGGGTCAAACGTTAAGTCAAACATGGTATCGGCTTTGTTCACCTTTGACGTTCGGTAAATCCGGTTTTTCGTCCCGTGTCTTCGAGAAATGGTGTTTGGGATTGTATTTGGGAGGCCAGTGGCATAGCAAAACAGGGTAAATTGGGGGAATGGCTTTGCAATCGGCGACCCTGATAATGAAACAAATCCGTAAAATGTCCTATTTTCCAGCCTTATAAAGAAGGCTTCGCGAGAATGCATGATGAATACAATATTTTTTGCTGGTAAGATTCTGCGTTTCCAGTAAAACGGACCATTAAATTAACAATCAGTGGAGACAGACTGACATTTTTAGTAGCACAGTTTTCAAAACACCAGGTAGATATAAAAGAATTTCTCTTACCTTTAGTGTACATGATAGTTATATTGACCTGCTGCGGTCCTTTTATTGTCACGGACCTCTGAGAACTTGAGAAAATGACTTGAAAGGTTTTGTTGCCTTCAAAGCTGTTATCCGTGTTAATGATACCAATTTTAACTTCCTTGTAAATCTCTCCCGGAGCAAATGCCAGTTGCTCCCCAGCAACAGCCTTGTAGTGTTTGTTTGTTTCAGCTGTCAAGCTTTTCATATCATAGCTAAGAAAATACAACACAGACAACAGATATCACTATTAATTCAAAAGAAATTTCTCTGTTTCTGATTGGCGGAAATCCTCCGACTGATTCTTCCGCAATCAGGCAACGTTGACTTAATTTTTTTGAAGGCGTTTGCAATATCCGACAAAATGACGTCAGTGCTACAGGGTACATGCAAGAAAAGGCACCGCAACCTAGAAGCTCTGTGGCGAAATTGCGCTAGTTCGGCTGACTTGGTATACGTACTGCTAGAGAAAATAGCGGAAAATTTTCACATTTTGCCCAGAAGATAGCAGAACTAATGCCTAAAAACATGGCGAAAAACAGCAAAGATATAACTCAACGTATGCAATTGATTTTTGAGCAACATCGGCTGGAGTAAACAATCCCTTTAAATATGTAATTTGCCAAGCAACAAGCCAATGAAGAGGTAACTTTACATCGCTCGAAGTAAGAATATAAGTTTGTTTTTAATGTATGAATTATTGTGAATCTATTGGAGGGAGTTATTCGCCGAGGCCGACGAATAACTGGTCCCTACGAACTGGATAACTCTTCAGATCATACTCAGTCTCATATAATAATGCTATGAACTCTTAAATTTAAACTCGTCAACCCTCCGTGGGGTAACATGTACATTCTGACCAAATGGGCACCATGCATATGTACTGCCCTACCGAGGAAAGCAAAACACTAAACACGTATTAAGGAGTCCCGTCTGACAACGTTCTCATCTATATCAAGCATAAAATCAAACAATTCCAATTTCAGCACTGTAGCACACGTACCAGCTCCACGATAACCACTGCCTGGGTGATATGGTTCTGCGCATGCGTAAGGTACTCGGGTGATATCGCAGAGTTGGCAGCCATGGACAGCTGTTTCGTCCTCATTAGGACTCATTCGCATGGTATAGCCCCAGGGGAGAGGTCTCAGTTATGATCACCCACCCCGAGGAGTTGGTACGTATTCTTCAGTGCTGAAATTGATAACACTGATTAAAAATACCTCGGGAAAAAAAAGTATAGTCAAGACTCACTTTGAGACTGTTTAGTGATTATACCGGCTTGTCTTTAAACACTGCTCATGGACGCCGACAAAGTTAGCCTGGGACCCGGTTCGTTAGTGGGGAAAAAGGCTCATTTGTCTTTTTTCCTCTACCAAAAAAAGCCTGGTTCGAGACTATAAAACGTCATTGCCATTTACAAACCACGAACTATACCATAATAAGAATTCCCCCTTTGGCCGTACCATATTAGGAGCTACATTCTTCTATTTTTCCTTTTTTTAGCATGGACTGTTTCAGTACTTACTTCACTGCAGTAGCAATAGCAAGAAATCCCTGACGGCGCATGCGTATCACTGCCCTGCCAGCATCTGCTGGTATTATTACTTGAGCTTCTAGAATCTCAATTGTGACGTTCTTTGCCTCCATTGCTATTGGCGAAATAAATTGTAGTGAGTGCATCAATACATTCTAAATTCTCTTGTATAGACCTCTAAGACTCGTTTATCAAACCGATCGAGTGTAGCTCAGGCTAGCCTCCCTACAGCCGCCTCCTAGCCTCAAACATAAACAAGTAGAGAGACGTTTATCAGGGTTGCCACACATCAGAAAGTTAAAATTTCCCTGACTTTTCACTGATCTTTAAACAGTTTTCACTGACCTTTTATTAATGAGAAACAATCGATGTTTACATTCGCTTTAGCTTTTTTTTTGCCGGCCATCGATATTTTTCTTCATTTTAAACCTCTTTCCGCTTTTCGCTGAAAGAGGAAGAAGGAATTTGGAAGAAAGCATTTACAACGAAAACCACGGACCACAACTACTACATGTGTCAGGCATAGAGTGTTAAAATTGATCGCTTTGCTTGCTTTGCAGTATACTTTTCATCTTTTCCGAAAGAAAATGCATTTCAAAGTCTTGAAGAAAACTTACGAACTATAAAGAGGAAAACAGAATTCCTGACTTTTCACTGACTTTGACAATATCAAAGATTTTCCCTGACTTTTTAACAAATTCCTGACTCTTCCCTGACCTTGAAAACTTTTCGTCTTTCCCTGACTTTTCCCTGACAGTGGCAACCCTGGTTTTGTTGCTGTACTCGGGCTAACTTAGGCCGCAGTTTGAGAAATAGTTGGACTTTCAAATTTCACCTTAAATTAACGAGTTGGTAGCTTTAGGGAGATAAATGCTCTATATTATGCTTTTTGAGTGACATGACCTTGAACAAATGTGCTGTTATTCAACTTCTGGCGTGGTTATATTGAACTATTGTGTTTTCATTGAACTGTATGTTAAAAACTGCAGAGCGGGGAACCGCGGACTCGATCTCCGTAGCCAGACAAAACTAACATGATCTTAGTCTTTAACCAAATCGGAATGTACTGCATAATCGGCCCTCTAATAGACCTTTGGGTCTGGTGGACTTTTAAGCCAGACTAGAAAATCATTTATCTACTTAAAACTAGTGGTAATCGCAGATTAGGAACTGCGTTCGAGCTTTTTTAGGTTTACTGTCAAATGTGACGTTATTTCCTAATAAACTGATGCTGCAAAACGCTTCCTATATGTTTTTTTTTTAAAAAAAGAAACAAAACAAAGCAAAACGACTACAAAAAAAAAAGAAAAAAGTCTCAATGGGCAGGAGTGGAACCCGAGACATTCGACGTCAAGAGAGTCGACGTGTATAAAGAGCATCGCATTATGCATTGCGCCACGCAACCAAATCGCTAAGACCATAGGTTAAATTAATTAATTTTAACATTTTTGTGCACGCGAGATAAATTTAAAAAAAATAAATGCACTTTTTATTTGAGTGTCAATGTATTTAGCACGAAAGCGCTAATTGGGGACACTATTTTTACGTCTCCTAATGGAGACGGGACCGCCATTTTACGTGGTCATCCGAGCCAAGCGAAGGTCTCACCGCTTGCAGTGCAAAGGAAGTACCTTCATTTCTCAGTCATTTTAAGACCCTGAGTAATGGTCCGGCCCCGGGAATCGAACCCGCGACCTCCCGCTCTGCATTCAAACGCTCTACCGACTGAGCTAATCCTGCCACGGTTAAATTATTCAAAATGGCGCAGAAAATGCAGACGTACGATGAAATGAGTACTACAAAAGGTCACCCTTTAGTACCACAAGAATCCCAAGATTATGTGTTGCGTTCTCCTTACGTCGAACGCAACAAGAGAAAATAATGGACCAGAGATCGAATCTTCGGACGTTGGCTGAGTTATTTTAACAGGATGTAATGGAACGAAAGCCTAATTCCTGAGACGTCCGCAAATTTTTATCCATGGTTTAAAACGTCATCAAGTCCACTGGCGACTGACTGCTTCACAACAAACAATGCAGAATATTTTAATGGCGACTGTTGAATTCTAAGACCAAACAAAAGTTTGCGGACCTCTGCGAAAACTTATTTCCGATTAATTTCAAGTGTTTCATTGGTCTAAAAATAACTTTGGTGAAATTCTCATCTCCTAAGGGCTAGAATGGGCGTTTCTTTCTCTGTCCATTTATTCTGTCTTGCTTAAAACAATTACCCTGCAAAAGGATTTAAGTTATACTTCATTTAATAACCCTTAATAACCCCTTCATTTAATAACCCTTCATCATACCTTCTTTAAAACTCCTGTTCCCAAGTTCTTGAATTTCTTCTACACTCAGCTTAATTCCAATAAAGTTTAGGTTGCTTATAAAGAACCCTTTTGTGTTGGATGTGCAGCCAAGCTTCAGACGCGTGTTCCGGTCTTGATCCACATAACTTTGTTCCGATACCCACAGATTGTCTACTAGTGTGCCATTATAATTTTGATACAGGGCTACGTTGGTTATTATTCCGTAATCAAAAGTAAAAACTATTTGAATCCAAGAATTGCGAGCCGCCAGTTCGCTGAACGCGCCACTACCGGGGACTGTCACTTCAGCACTGCCAGAATAGGGAGAAATCCTGGAAATCTCAAATGACCAGCCATACTCGTACTCATCATCAGCACGCAAGCCCGAATTCAGGACCTTTAGATCTTTATCGGCTCCAGTTTTAAAGAGAAATGACAATGTAAAATTCTGACAGAGAAATGGATTACTGATGCACGTACCAGCAAAGTCACCAAGGTCGACTTCTTCTCCTGCAGGCACAAACAGAGCCTGGATGCCATCTTCCACCTGAGTTCTGACGCCATTTGGGATTTTCTTGCTTTTGAAAGATTTGTTGGCTGCTTGGTCGTAACCATACAATGCCTGGTTAGCAATTGGATAAAAAGGCCAGGAGTAATTAGCTGTTGAATGACGAAAACAATCTAGTCAGTGGGTCAGTCAATCTGGTCAGTCACTTATCTCAGTTCAGTAACATTTACCGTAAAATTCCGAAAATAAGCCCCTCCATGTATAAGCCCCTCCAAATATAAGCTACACAAAATCGTAACACAAAAAAAACCCTCCGTGAAATCACCCCTCCGACTATAAGGCCCCCCTCCCCCGGGGGGGGCTTGTACTTGGAAAATTGCCCTCAAACACAAAGTAAAATAAAGCAGAAGCGGTAAATTTCCCTCCAACTATAAGCTAGCCCAATCGATTTTGAAACGCAAATTTCCCTCCGCCCCTGCGAATATAAGCCCCTCAAAAAGGGCCTTTGAAAAATATAAGCCCCGGGACTTATTTTCGGAATTTTACGGTATCTTTTAATGTACCTTATTAGAACTGTTAGAGGGTCTCTTTAGGCCAGCTAGAAGACTTGACACTTCTAGAAGCGTCCTTTTTCGCTATGGAACTTGACAAATCACTTGTAAATGACAAAATTACGGCTTCGTGTGGAAAAAATATGCCTTTCTCCCAAACATTAAATCAAACTAATAGGCAACGACAATTACCTTTCAAAAACGTTTAGGCCAACAAGTTTTCAAAAAACACAGTTGTAATCAGTTTCAATCTTTTTCAGGTTTGTTCATCCGGCTTCCGTCTATCTATATTTGCTATGTAATTATACCTTGTTTTCAATGTTTAAGCACCTGGGTTATTTTTACTGATGTTACAATCAGGTTGGTGACTGTTGCGGTTTCCCACGGTTTGAATTTTGATAAATTTCGTGACACATCTCATTTAAGGTGATGTTACACGGGACGACACGCAACGACGATTTTTAGAGCAACACAGCGTTGCAATGCTAGAACAATGTTGTAACCATTCGAAACATCGTCGCAACAATGTTTCCACGCTGTGTTGCGCTAAAAATCGTCGTTGCGAATCGTTTCTGAAACATTACATTTAAGTGAAGATTATTATGAAAGTACAATAATCGGCTAACTGAGCATAAAATATACAGTTACCAGAAATAATTTTTTTTATTATTTAAAAAAAAAAACGTTATCGTTGCCTTATTTCGTGATTCATGCAACATTCAGAGGAAATGGATTCTTCCAGCATAATTTAAACGGAAAAAACGAGATCAACAGAACTACTTACAAAACATTGTACACAGATTAATCTAATAAGTCCTGATAAGTAGCGGTCAAAAACCCATTAGTAGTCTTCACTTCGCTGGCCCTGGCGTAGGTTATTATTTAGGATGATAAACTCATAAACTGGCCTACAGAACTTGCCATAACAAAATTGCACGAGGGTTTCTACGATCGCGGACAAAAAATCGTCTTAGAAATTAAATTTGCCCTGTTGTTATCTGTTACCTTTGGATAAAAGTATGTCTAAAACTACTTGCAAACAGACGTAACAACGCCCAACAATGTCATTTGGAGTTGTTGCGTCCGTTTTCACGTAGCTAAAAGTTTGAACGGTTTCAAACTTTGGGCAACAACTCCCAACAACACTCAACAACGTGCAACAGGGCCGTGCGAACGGACCCAACATGTAACAACCAACAATGTTGGGAGCTGTTGGCCAACAATGTTTTCGTCCGTTTGTAAGGTGCATACTGTAAGGGCTAAGATGGAAGCTGTTGTCTCACGTGAAAATCCTGAAAAGCAAACCCGTGACAACGAAAACGCCTTCTTTTGAAAACGCAGTAGTGTGAACAGGGCGTTAAAGCTTTGACAACAAAGAACGTGTTCTACTTTATTTACATTTATAATCATATTAAATCATCCAAAAATACCCCGGGGGGGGTACTCCATTATGTCAGTCCGATACAGGTTTTTTGCAGCCTCAAAGGGTATGATTTTTACGCCGTTTTGGTCTGGAAACGAGTATAGACTTCGCCCATTTTGGTCTAGAATTAGGTATAGTTTTCGAGGAAACTATAAGAGTGTATGAACCTATTTATCGTTTCAGTTCCAAATGATACGCGAATTCGGAGTGGATTTTAAGAAATCTATTTGTTTGGCGTTCTTATCTAAGTAATTAAGACATAATTTCTTGGAGGCCAGGTCTGAAAACAGGTGGAAAACTATGACATTTTTTGGTCTGAATCGGGGTCAGGATTTGGAGAAGTGTTCGGCACAGCCCCACCAAGAATTCTCAGGAGTACCTCCCCGGGAAAATACCAAATACTGTACGTCAGTGATGATATAATGAAGTAACAGAACAAAAGATCGCGCAACACAATAAGCTACAATAGAACACCATACTTTAATGGAATAATAAAGAATACTTGTGAATCACGAAATACACGAAAACCTTCCCCGCATGGAGACAGCTTTGTAAATCTAATACGTACTTGACTAAAGAAAAACAAATTTAAATTCCCAGAAATTCTCATCAGATCTGTAACATCGCATTCCGAAAACTCAGGGCGCAAAGAATCAGAACTGTTTTCTATACGGTCACGCCACAGGTTCTATATGCAGAGAGCAAAACCAGCGTGTACAAAATACAGTCGAACTTCTTGTAACATCGGAATCGTTTACTAAATTGCATCCCTATCACTAGTCCGCCGGGCACAACGGCTAAAACTGAAGTGCTCAATACTTGTCAACTTTTAAGTTTCGTGCTTTTAGCTTCTTTTTAATGTACTATAGTTGATTGTGTTACGTTCTTGCAAGCATTGTAGCTCATTTTGAATGTATAAAATGTAACCTTGTTCCCAGTTTTACAAAGTGGTCTGTCCTATGTTACATTACATCCCTTCGATCCTCCTCGACTCTCGTTTCACTGATAACCTTTGCAAAGACAGTGGCTGACAGAAAGGTTCCCGCTCAGGCCCACATCCTTAGTGTGTTTTCAGCTTTCAAGTAAGATATACAAGATGTTTACACGATATGCATATGATTGTGAAATGTAAATTGGGGCTTGCGTGTTTTACTTTACCTGCATATGTTCCACCAATGAATAGAAGGGCGAAGAAAACCCTCATCTCTTCCGCCGCTAAACAGAGTACAAAAGAAAATGTAGCGCTAGAAATTCAAGCACGTGGAATTTTAATTGATCATCCTTAAAGTGAGGTTTGTGGGTATGTCGAACCGGGGGGTGGGGGGTGGTGGAGGAAAGGGTCTGGGGACGTGCCTTAGTTGGCAAGATGGTGGCAACAATATTAGCATTAGGAAAAACTGTTTGAATGCAGAGGTCCACGCAACGCGTAAATATAACTGACTGGTTCCTTTTCCCGGATCTCTAATTAAAGAGATGCTGTAGAGAGACGTCAGTTAAAGTATAAAATAAAACCAAACTGAATGCAGGGCGAGCACTACGGCAAAGGGTTGATTTATCATAGGCCTATAATAAATCAACCCTTTGCCGTAGTGCCAGCCCTGCATTCAGTTTTGTTTTAATGTTAGCCTTGTTGCTGTGAACTTGCTGATATTTTACAAAGCTGTGCACTTAAATTAAGCCCTGCTTTGAATTTAGTAGTCAGAGAAATACTTTATACAAAAATCAGACTTCTATTGAGACTGAACTGTATTGATTCAGGTAGCCTGCCAGCAGGCTTTCCACTTCGAGTGGCGAGAGAGCGCGCGAGTGGGCGGCGAAGCCGCGAGGGGCGGAGGAAAAGGAGAACTCTCCTTTCTTTCCCCACATCTCGCACTTGTCTCTCCTTTCGCGCGCGCCTCTTGAGTGACCTCTCTCGACTCCCCCAAGTGGAGAGCTTGTGCTAAGAAAGAAAGGGAAAAAAATAAACTAGTTGGTTCTAACGACCGCCCAATGCGTCTTGCTAAAAAAGAAAGAAAAAAAACCAGAACATTAAAATATCATTTCTCGCTGAAACTGATGACCTAACATGACCTAAACTTCGAGCCAAGACCCGAACCAAGGGTGTTGGTCTTTTCCTTTTTGAAAGCCATTGCTCGAGGAACCGGGCCCATAAGGATATACCTTGACCAACAGCAATAGGGAGTTTTTAAACTCTCTATCTCTATTGCTGTTCTCTATTGTTTCTAAGAATTTCTCAAAATAGAAAATGAGCACATATAAGAACTGCTCAAAACAATTCTTATGGATAAAAAATTGCGTGAACTATCAATTTATAGTGTAGACAGATAATGAAAAGTAAACGACAATTAAATGAAAAACTTGGTCACGAGGTACTATTTTCATTACTATGGAATTATCGAAGGTTGTATCGAGAAAACAGGAAGGTTAAACATGTTGGAGTGGTTTTTACTGACTAACTACAGCGTCGCTCTGACCAGTGTGATAACTATCGCAACTTTGGTCTTAACAACAGTGATCGTCTTCAGACTGTTTTCCAAAAGGCAAGTGAATGATTTCGGAAACAAATTTGTGGTGATTACGAGCTGCGACACTGGGTTCGGTCACGAAAAAGCTATTCTCCTAGATAAGATGGGAGTTCATGTGTTGGCGACTTGTCTGACAAAGGAAGGGCAACAAAATTTGAAATCAGAGACGAGCGACGGGCTTAAAGCATTTCAGATGGATGTGACAAACTCGCAGCAAATCAAAGATATCAACAAGAAAGTAAGGGAAATTGTGCCCTCGGGACAAGGTGGGTGTAAGAGGCTGTAAGCCTGTTCTAGGACTCTGGGCACTCGATTTACGGTACACAAACTTGTCCCGGCGTTACCACAAAAACCAAACCGAACGTTTTATTAATCGAACTTAATCGAACTCAGTCGAGTTTAATCGATTGATTACGTTCGATTAAGTTCGGTAATTAAACACAATAGAACTCAGATCTCACAAAAAAATTTTAGGGGGTGTTTACGAGAGAAAACTCGCACCGGCGCGAGTTTCATGCCGGGATGACTTTTTGATTTCGTAATCGAACCCAAGCGAGCTTTGATTAAGTTCCATTAGGTTCGACGGTCGAATCTGGCATACATTTGATTAAAAATGGGACTTTACACAGGAAAATTAACACGGGACGAAAAAAC